CACTTGCTCATACTAAACCAGGAAACTCCACTTAGCTCAGTTTTTCCGAATTCCCCTGAAGGTATCACAGCAGCCAATGAACGGGCAAGGGGGCGCGAGTAAGGGGTGCGTGTGACGTCACAGCCTGGTGCCCCTGTCCGTGTTTGGCGGAGGAGAAGTTTGTGCGGACAGACACCACTGTGTCGTGTTACAGTGGGTAACTACTGGAGCTGAGGCGAAACAGATCATCTTTGTATATGAGTTTGTTTTTTATTTTATTTTTGAGGACTCGTTTTTCTATACGTTATTTATTGTTCTTTTCTCTTGATGAGTTAACTTAATGTGTTTTAAAAACCTAGCGTAGACCCCCATCAGGGAATTCTGGATTCGCGTCCCACTACCGTTAACGTGTACCGCTCGCCTTCTCTGACGTCATACCTATTTTGGCTGTTGGTACCCAGAGTTTCCCGCAGTCATTAAACAATATGCTTCTAATTCTTTGTGAAACATCGCATTCTCGACTGGGTTATCCCGTATGAACCGGGTCAAGGTAGCGACGAGGAGTCGGGGGCGCCGCCAGCAGAGCCGGGCTTCAGGATGAGGATGCCCAGAGGAGGACGCTTGTTTCTGGCGACGTGCCTCGGCTCGCTCCTGGTTCTGGTGCTGTACTTCCAGAGCATCACTAAGCCAGGTAGCGTAAGCATTTTTAATATTTTGTCCATAAAGTTGGCTTCTAATAACATTGAAGTGCATTTCGGGCAATGTATGGATATTATAGGTTTTGCTTTTTAAAAAATTGAGCAGAACAAAAGACGGTAATTGTCCACTTTTACAGGTATAGTTTAAAGGTTAGAAAAGTTAAAAATAGATGGCGTTACTTATGAATGCAAAGGGTTTTCAATTATGAACATCAGAAATGCATTATGATAGAGTTATACATTTATATGTATGACGTTACAATTGCACTTTATAATAACAATACAGTTTACTCTTTTATGTATACTATAGCGTTACCAGGTTTTTCTTGATACATTTTCTTGATAAATCCCAAAATCAATCATCTTCTTCGTCTATGAAATAGCTTCCATGCATTCTGCTAATAGGTTTCCTTTTTCCTCTGTATTTTGTAACTAATTAGAAAGGGATTGGCTATGGACCAGAGGACAATACGTTTTAGCAAAGCAGGGGACATTTAGCCAGATTTGTTCATTTGTGCTGTTACAGTCAAGACTGTCAGTTATAAATAATAAATAACTTAATGCAAATATAACAGCATTCTCGTCTTTTTCTTCTTTTTCCTTTTTTTGCATGTTTAGCATGTGCATTCATAGCTAATATACAAAAGCCTTTTGTATAACCACTACTTTATACTGGTAATTAGTATTACTACTAAATGTATTTCTTCATTTTGCTTACAAAAACCTACAGCAAAGTTACAGGATTAGATACATATAAAACAAAAACATATAACACAATCATCATTAAAAAGCACTTGTAGAACCAGAAGAGGTAGTCTTCTTCTAACAAGCACAAATAACTAAAATGTCCCAAAACTGTTATGTACTGTAAACTCTGTATACTCTGAGTTCTTGCAAAGGCCATACATCATTGTAATCAAGCTACACAGTTCCAGTATGTAGGTGTATATGTGCTTCTGCATGTATGGATCTGGCAACATGAGCACAGACATAATGAAATGTGAATGAAATCATGTATGAATAAGCCCACTGTGAACACTGGAATGTTTTGAAAACCCCCCTCCAACCCTGGACCTCCTGCATTCCTCCGCTTGTAGCCCTCTTTGCTCCTCCATTTACCTCTCCTCTTTCTTTGTTTTCTTGGCTCAGCTCATTTTGGACAGTGAAAGACAGATGACCCCCAGGGGACTGTGCCCCCCTCCCCAGAAAGAGATGTCAGAACTCAATCAGGGAGATCAAGTGTGAAAAGATAGGATAAGAGAGGGGATGGATTTGTAGTGACCACACATGCCTACAAGCAAAGTTTTACAATTTCATGAAAGAAGAGGCTGGTGATATTCCTTAGCATGGCATTTTTTCATAAATGGCAATAAATGTAGCTTTACTGAGAGTTTGGTCAATACTACATTATATTAATTGGAAGTATATCGAAAAATGCTCTGCACACAAGCATATACTGTATCACATATGTCCTATAGGAAATATGATCAGAAATGAGTACTAAAAGGCTTTGACACCGATTTTTTTTTTTTTTTTTTTTTGAGTTTCATCCAGGACTGACAGACTGTGATAGTGGTTCAGAACAGCAGTCGTTGCATGTGTTGAACATATGTAGAAACACAGACTTCCAGCCTTCTCATTGATCCCCTCATGCATATAGACTCACAGCCTGACCTGTTAAGGCTTGTCTTCCAGTAACCATATGAGTCACATAAGAGAGGACTAGTTCAAAACAAAAAAAGCACAGGACTTCCATAATTACTGTGTATCTAGTCAGAGTGGGTTTTAAAGCCTACACAAAATCTCTGGCTTGGTTCTGCGTTTATTCTTTTTTATTTTTCATTTCTTTCTATTCTTGCTGAGGCAGAGTCATTTGAAATGGTGCAGAGGGTTATATTTCAGCAGACATATACTGACCAGTTCTTAAAGTTTAACACTTACAGGGACCCAAAGTGTTTAAAAGCTCTGTGGATTTTAAAGCTAAGAAGCTCAGATGTAATTGTGGACTAACAGTGTGAATAAAGAGTCTAAGTTGTGTAAATAAAGCTGTAAGGACCTAACCTTTTGGAACACTGTATGTACCTTTGATAGTTAGCTTCAAACAATGGTTCTGCTATTCTGGATTTAGGTTTTAAGATACACTAAAGTAATTTCATAGGTGGTACATGTTTCCATTGTATTTTAGGCCATCTCAGATAAAAAGATGTTTGGTAAAAATGATGTACAGCCTTCCCATGCCTGACACTGTCTAAGGGACATTTGTATGATTCAGTAGCAGCAGACTGTCTTAACCAATACCAAACCAATTTCCTAAAGAAGTCTCAACCTTTTACTCGATTTCCTAAAGAAGTCTCAACCTTTTACATTATTTATCATAGCCCAGGGATGACAAACAATTCTTTTGAAAAGTTCAGCAAAAAGATGACTAAACCCCTAAAGCTCAGCCAAGACAATCTTGTTTCCCAAACCCCTAAGTAGTTCTCCCTTTCATTTAGAGACAAACAAAAAGTCATACATTATTGCATTATCATTTGCAAAATGTATTCCTAATTTTAGAAAATGTTGCATCAAAGACTAATAGGAGGAGTGCATATGAGTGAAAATAGAAGTGACCATAAAATATACAACTAAAGTTCAGTCACCAAAAATAATGTTAGGTCATAAGTCACTTTCTCATTGTTTTCTATTCTTTCTATTTTTTTTCTTTTCCAGCCCTGTCCCAGAGGAGTAAATAAAAACACTGCATTCAATGTCGATCATTTATTTTAAAAGCCCTTTTATACTTACAACCCATTTGGCAGACATAGACAAAGCTACAATTAATCCCACTGTTTAATACTAGACAACCAGCATAGTACATGCTATTGTTGTGTTTCTGCCAGCAGTGACTTCCTCTGCCAATTACCCCAAACTTGGCTCCCAGGAAACACATAAGCCGTGTGAATTGTACAGTTTTAATCTGATTAGAGCTATTATTGCCAAATTAAGGCTTTTAGATTATGGGAAATGGGATACTTTATTTAGAGTTTAAGTTAAAGATTGAGTTCCCACATTTATCCCTACTGTGTATTCAATTTCTTTTTTTTTTCTGTAATTGTAAAATGTGACATTTTGTGCCCAAAAGAAAATATGGAGTAGAAAACGATGTGGGCATTTTGTTGAACATGTTCTATTTCTACTCGGGCTCTCTTATTAGACACATCATAATTTGAGCTAAAATAGATATGCACACCCACATTATTTTTCCTCACTCTATCTCATGTGGTTCTGTTGACTCAGAAATGCTGTGGCATGGTGTCATTGTGTGTCATAGAAGTTTACGTGTGTTACTATGGCAGGCAAATTTGTGGATGGGTGTTGCCCTCGATGTGCACTTGTCAAGGATGAAGTGAAGCTGTCAGCATTTCTTGCATGTTTGCAGCTTGACAGCTTTAATTATTTTATAATCAAAAACATAATTCTCATAATTTGTGGATGTTTTATGTGAAATTTGGCCCTTTCTGTAGATCTGATTGTTCTGTGAAAAAAATGAAAACAAACACTTGCACGGAATAGACCCTTAACCTTCCACCCCATCACCGTTTTCTTTAACTGAATCTTAAAGTCATATTTTGCAAAACCCAGACTACATGCCCAATTATAGAAATGTTTCCTGCAACAACATGTGCCGTGCAACCACCAATAAAAACTATGTGTTTTGCATCTCAGTTAATCTCCGTTAACATTTAGCATCATTTTTTGAACTTAATGCACTCCATCTGCTGCCTGTTTTAGATTCATAAGCACATTCTGTATTGAACATGCTGGTTGTACTGGTTGTACTACACTTAACCCACAACAATGCTGTAGGGTCCTGTTTTGTTCCCGTCCGTAGGGACCACCAGTAATTTGTGTAATCAACTAGCGAACAGTTAAACTGAATAACATGTGACTGCGGTGGTTTTGTGTTGCACCACACAAATCTTGTTTTCTGACTTGGAATTCTTTATAATCCAAGTCAGAAGAATATATTTCGGTGACCTTTCGACAGATGACTGGCAGGTTTGGGATGTTCTGGTTTGCCTAAAATTTTGACGCCAAGCAGAAGCAATTCCAAGGATTACACAGTGTGCTGTTTCACCTTGTGACTTCCTGCATTGACTTTCTGCATGTTCCTGAACAATATCTGCTTAAGCAGAGTGTGCTAAAGTGAGTGTTGCATCAACTATGTTAAACTATGTCTTCCATACTCACAGCAAAACAGCATACAGTTACTGTCTTCTTTAATCATACTAAGTGATTTGGCTCAAACACGTGGTTATTACTCCAGATGGTCCGAATTGCATAAAGCTATATAAATGCACATGAGACAGGAATCTGTCTTTAAAATCTTGAGTTGAACTTTTCACTCAGATTCATTGGCTGTTCAGATTTTAATAAAAAAAAAGCTTCAGCCTCCTTTACCACACATTGGCACCAGCTGAATGCCTGTTCTACCTCCTGCCGGATGCATGTATTCAGATACATTTATTCTATAGCCAGTGTACTCTGTCCAATAAATCACCAAACCTCCTGGCTGACCTAACACTAAATATGTCTCCAATAAGAAAAGAAGAACCAAAGCACAAGTGAATTTATATGCTGCTGCAAGTGCGGTGGTTGGTTATAATAGAGTGGCTTCAGACCAGTATGGCTGGATCTTTTTCTTATTGTATCCCAGTTGTGATTGATCTATGACGTCTCCAATACTCACCAGTGTTCACATTGATTCAGGTATACTGTAGTCACAGATTTTTCTGCAAGATAGAGCTGACAAGGCATAGCCTCATTGGCCGTGTTGAGCTGCTATCACACATGCACTAAATCTAGCAAGTTCCTCAAATTGTTTTAAGGAAGCTGTTTTAGACATTTTTAAATGGTTGATAGTTGCAACTTTCCAGCCTACATTGCCTTCAGTCAGGAATCTTTTAGAAGAACGAGAACAGAGAATGAAGATCATTTAAAAAATGTAGGAACCTTTTTGATTCACTGACTAAATACAGGATTTCCGTTCTATGCAAAATACTAATACATACTATGCAAAAGTTGCATAGTATGTGAGTAACTATGCCTATGTTACTCACTTACGCTAACACATTGCCCACATCATAATGTAGGACATCATCAAACATCAGAAGAATCTGATTTACGCTTGGGAGCTGTAATGAAGAGAAAATAGTTCACCAAAAGACAATACAAACAAAAGAAAGTACAATTCAACGTACAGCAAACAAACGGCAAATGCATAGACAGGTGTATAGGGCCACTTCACACACATTTGTCCACTTTGCAAGACTTTCTTAATAAATCTATGTGAGATGTCTGACCAGTGTCTTTAATAATTGTAAAAATGTCAACATAATGTTTACATAACTATGGACATGGCAGACTAAATAAAGTCATTTTGATGGTGTCCATTTTAATGGCCAATTAAAGCTACACTGTCTATATTTTTTAAGAGTGGAATTAGCTGGTGAATGCTCAAAATAAGATAAATCCAAATGTGTCTTCTCTCCCTTTTAAACCCTTCAAGAAATTGCACAGAAACATCAGGAAGGCACTGGTGTCTTAATCACTACCATCTGCAGCTCCTGGGAGGTGGTTAAAGTGACCATTTAAAATTAAAGCTACCACCGCACAAAAATCACAGTGGCCTTTTCTGTCTCCCACTGCTTCTCTTTCGATGATCATGCTGTAGTCCTGTTTTCTCTTTCATCCACTTTCAGTTTTATTTCGAAGAGGTGCCTTTACATATTCCACTTAAAGCATATAAACTGCGTGGTGTTGTTTTTTATCTCATGGAAACTTCCGTCACGTGACCCTCATAAACAAAAGCTTTTCCTTTTTAAGTGCAGCTTTACAGAACTGTGGCACAGGTCTTCACCATGCTAGAGATTTTCAAAATAAGAGATCATTTTCAGACTTTTGTCAGCAGCTCTAAACAGTCAGTGTAGTACTGTCATAAACCAGACAGTTCTGTTTGTAAGGACTTAGACCAGCTCAGGGGCTTGATGGACTCTTGTTTGTCAGTGAATATAACAACAGGACAGCCTCACATGCCTTGGTGGGATGGAAATACACAGAATCAGGTTTAAATGGCCTTGTATGTGTGTGTGTGTGTGTGTGTGGCAAGACTGAGGCCCTTGTCTGTTCTACATCAACCAGCAGTTGTTGTGTCACTTCCTGCAGTCACAAAGGAAGTGGTTTTGTTACCGTGACGTACACAACAGAACACATTATGCAGACAAAAACACTGATAATGCTTTAAGAGTGTGTGCATCTACATTTTAACAGAGGTGTCAGGGAAACACATTTTTGAAGTTTGACATTTTAAAGATAATGATAATGTAAACAAAGGGAAAACACCATATAAATGTTCTCTCTTCAACAGAGAGATAAACACACACACACACACACACACACACACATACACACACCATCCCCCTCAACAAGCTCTCACTCAGTTTTGTGAGACGTGTGATGATGACACACTGCTGATTTCACAGTCTGCACAAGAGGCTACGTGTGTGTTCACACTTGTAATTGGCTTAGTTTGGTTCAAACATGGTTAAAAGAACTGGTGATTTCATTCAATTTTTTTTTATCAATTTAGTATTAACATACACTCCACCTACTTTACGGAAATGATAAAACACTTGTTTTCATCCTTATTTTCGAAACAAGGTAATAAATAAACAAGGTAAAGGTAATAGCAAAAACAGGGCCAAATAAGAAGGCATTACTAAATATAAGGCGTGCCCTGACAGTGCTGTTTTTTATATACAATACATATTCATATACATTTTGTGGAGACAGGGGTGGTGATAAACTGAGGAATTCACCTTCAAAAAGCAAGTACTTCTTTATTAGCCAACATATGGCTTGACCTTTCTGTCGGTGATATACAGATTAGTACTTCCTGCTGTACTATTCAAACACTTGAGCTCCTCAACAATGAGAGAGTGTACGCCACATTTCAGTTGGTTGTTTTCTTTGAGCTCATTCTGAATGTCCACTATTAGGATTTTGAAAGAAACAATATATTGATAAATGAACTGGTCATCTCTTTGTGTAAACGATACAGAGAATATCATCATAGTCACAATACTCTTATTGGTGATATGACCAGAGACACTTGACCTACTTCATAACTTCCTGAGGAAGCCTTTCTGTTTTTGCTGCATCTTGTTTGAACATCAGTTTCCTACAGTGACTCCTTCACAATTTTGTTTTTTTCTTTTTGCTTCTGCCACCTCTGCCACACTTCACCCCAACAGCTGCTGCGAGTCCCAAAGCTCGCTGTTGTATAAGTAGAGTTTACCTGCAGTGTGGCTTCCTCAAGACGGAGAAGTGGGCTTTAAATACATCAAGAAAAAGCTTTGAGCCTGGTCCAGCAGGGCTTAGATGTCTATCTCTGTGTGTTCAGATGATGTGGCACAGATTACCCGAGAGGAAGTCGAGGTTTTTTTTTTTGTTGATTCATGTGTACTCACCAAGAGGGGGAACAGTTTCACAGTGGTTACAGCCTTTCAGCCTTAGTTCAGATCTACAAAGTAGTCCGTGTTTGCTGATTCATCAGTGCTGTGATTGTTCTTCTTCTTCAGTTCCTTTTTTTTTTGAAAGTGGCAGGAAGCTGTCATGATTGAGAGCTTGACACACACGGTCTGTGGTGCGTAGAAGGACTTCAACTATTCTTCTTTTCTACAGTGTAGATTTATTTCTGTCCCTGACAAAATTACATATGTTGGTGTCAGTACGGGTTATTTTAAACGAGGACAGTGACTCCTTCCAAAAATCAGGTTTCAACAACTCTTGAGGTCTACATTGTGACTTGTCCATCCCAGAAACCCACACACTGAATCATAATGGCAGTAAAATCAAGGTATTTTGTAGTAATGTCTGTTTTCCACACTTTGGCTTGGGTAGTCTGCTAAAGAGCGGCATTCCACATGGAGTTATGAGCATGTAGCTATTACCAAGGGACAGGAGAATAAAGTGTCACACATTGTTATTATAGAAAAGTAGCAGATTGGAGGTTAAGTTGAAGTCTAGAAACAAGAAAATTACAGATTTTGAAAAAAAAAGAAATTATAGTTTTTCTTTGACCTAGGATGACTGCTAAGCAAAGCAACACACTCATTTACAGCAGTGTGCCGATTTTTCTGCATTTCTAGCAGAGAAATGAGAGTTAGGTGTTCTTGTTGAATTGTCAGAAGAGGATTATACTGTATATTTGGCCATTTATGACTTCTGATTTTTTTCACGTCAACTAATCTGACAATGAAGTCTAGGTCATGGAGGCAATGGATTTATGACATCATCACACTGACAGAGGAGAACCTACACAGGCACGCATGTCCAACGATGAGCAAGTAATTTCTGTCAGCTCCCATTGAGACGCTCGTATCTCAAGTCACTTTTTTCACTTTTGCTTTGTGATGGTTTCATCCTCCAGGACAGACTTTACGAGGATCCTCTGGTCATGTAGCCCAGCTCATGTTTTTCCTTCCTAAGGCCTGTCACCAATCATGGGCTGCTTGGTGTGTTCTTCCTCTCAGAGTAACATTATCGTCCATTTTATGAAGTGATAATGAATATTGGTGAGGTTGATGATAAAATATCGGCGTAAGCCAGTCAGAGTTGAAGAGTGTGTTGACACACAAGAAGAAATAGAAGTGCATTTTCAACTTTTCGACTCCTCCAAAGAGACGTTGACTTTGAAGAATTGGTTCTTCAGTTGTTGTTCTAATAATACATTCTCCGAGTGCATCACTGCTCTTTGTTGAGTCAGTGTCTATACAGCGAAGCATTTATTGCATGCGAATAAATGCTAGCTTGACAGAAAAGCAGCCCATATACAGAATCGACTTCTGGTTCCCATTCCTTTCTCTAGCGGTATGCTTTCCCTGCGATGGTGTGGCGTTTCCTTGTCCTTCCTTATGCTCCCCTTTTATAGTCTGAAGTTACCGTCATGCAAATACCTACATTAAATCACTCTCCCCATATTGCTGCTCCAGCTTTGTGTTTGGTTGTGAAGCAGGACACATGTGAAAAACAAATCACAGCTCCAGCTCTGAACGAGGAGCTGCAGACACACCGACAGGCCTGGAGAGAAGGGGGTTGGGAGTGTGCATGGGTGGAGGGGGAGAAAGGAGAAGACAAATGTGTTTGTAGAAGCAGGGGGGAAGGAAGGGGAGACAATACAGCACCCGGAGTTGAAACTTCAACCCAGCAGGAGCTGGGAGTCGTTTTTTGTTAAAAATTCATGAGCTTCTTGTTAGGAAGCAGATCTAATCAGATGCATATTTATTGTGGGTTGTTTTGTAATGAGAAGCAGTAAATGCTGTCACCAATCTGCCCACTTTAGCAGTGTGAGTTATCCTGTGGTGGCCTGTGTAAACACATGGAGTCAAAGAAAAGTTGCAGCTCCGTCAGATAGAGGATGGAAGAAGAAGAAGAATGCCTGTAACTTATATAAGTGTTTCCATAGAGTTTGGAAAGAACATATTGTTCTTATAGGGTCTATAATAAAACAAGGGGCGGGGTTTTTGTGTGTGTGTGTGTGTCAGCTCCACATCATGACAAAGGCGGACCACAGTTATCAGTCCACACCATATTGTACCCAGTGTAGTTTCGAACATTTGCCTTATACAGTATTTAGTCGACAGCAAAGTGACAGTCATTTACTCTGCACATGTCTGCATACGGGGGAAAACCTACAGTAACCATGGCAAAAATAACATGTCACAGACGTGGTACTGCAAAGTCTTTACAGCTTACATAAACCGTCTCCAGTGCAGGTCTGGTTCAGTTGGTACTTTTCTTAGTTCATCTAAGCCACAAAAAGGAATGTGTTTAATAAAGACAAGACAGGAATGCAGTTAGAAACATACAATTAGAAGCACTTCCCTGTAGAGCTACCTAAACACGTGGGTTTTAATCTAATCTCCTGTTTCACTGCAGAGCCCGGTGTGAAGAACGGCAGCCGACCGGGGAAGAGCAGGAGAAGCCCACTGCAGGCTCTCTACAATGGAGAGCAGGTGAGAGCAAACAGACACGTAGACACAAAAAATAACTGCTTCAAATCAAACGAGACCAGAGCAAACACCGGGAATTCTCATTTGACTTCCACACAAGGCACTGGGACAGCGGTGTTGTTGGTTCTCCACATTTCTCCGTAGGTCAGGGGTTCAACGCCAGCTGTGTGTCCAGCACTTGACCTGTTCATGTTTTTAATCGCCAGCCATAGACAGGGAGCAGTCATTGCATCTCCTTCCACATTAAAATCAAGATTTATGTTTTAAAAATAATTTTGTCCTCTTCCTCTTTTAAAAAAAACCCACATCATACTGTTGGTGTAGGTCCAGTTTCCTGTCATCATAATTGCTGCAGAATACTCTAATTAATGACTTTAACTTTTGAAGCGCGGCTGCTTTCCAGAATTATTCTGCTACACTGCTTAGGTATTTAGTGCTAGCAAAAATATTTTTTTCAAGCTTTGGTTCATCTCTTGTATTTCTAAATTCATAGTTGTTGCTGTAGCTCAGCAGGGAGTGGTCTTAACATTCGTCTTCAGCGGGTTGTGGGTTCAGATCCTAGTGGGATACTGTCAATAGGTATATGACAAAACCTGTAGTGATTTAAGTCTAATATGACTTACATAATTTAATATGAGGGAAGTGTACGTTTTGTGCTGCTTCTGACGAACAGACACAAACTCTAATCCTTACTTTCAAGTATTTTCATCCCAGTCTCCAAGAAAACAAACTGAAAGTTTCTGCCAGTAGCTCCTTTTCTGACATTACACCACATTATTAAATTTTCTGTGGAACAGATGGATCTGAACAGGGATTTGGCATCTCAGTCAAGGTCTCAGCTGTACGACATTAAACAGTGAGAGGAAGGGGCCAGATTAGTAGAAGTTACATAAGGATGCTCTTTGTCCATCGGTGTATCCACGTTAGGTTCATAATCTGTCAAATCGATTCAACTCCAGCGCAAAACCAATTCAATCCTGTCAAAGAGTTTCCCACCAGGCAAGTGAAGGATACAGGGCAGTGACCGTGCAAAAAAAAAGAAAATAAGGTTCAGGGAGTTTAAACAGAAAATCAACACATTAGTGGATCTGTTTTTCTCACAGCAACAATACCAGAAGTTATTTTTAGTGAATCGCCTCATTCGCATCAAATTTTGAGAGGTGTTTCTGTTTTCTTTTCTCCCTCCTGTCCTTCTTTTTCAACGCGGACGACATCATCCTCATCACAAGCAGCTGGAGCTGTTGGCAGCTCAGAGGTCCCTCCAAGGCCGCAGGGAGCTGTTGGAGCAAGCGTGTCTGAGCCACACGAGGAAGCGGCGGGTGCTCGCGCCCGAGGATCTCAAACACCTCATTGTGGATGACAAACACAGCCTCATTTACTGCTACGTACCCAAGGTTGGTTCCCATTACATGGAGAGGTGCAGCTGGAATTCTCGATAGAGTCTTTCATACTGTGTGAGGCGGGGACAGGGGACAGGGGACAGGGGACAGGGCAGGGAGGCAGCTCCAGGCCAAAGTTCTAATTAAAACTTGAACATAGTTATTCTAGTTTAAGCTGCAGTTCAGCTCTTAAACATCACTCATCGATACCAACATTTATCATTACATGACAGTTTACAAGAATCTTCGAGCCCACACACTCAGACAGAAATAGAAACTTCTGGAGAGAAAAGAAAAAAACAAAAAACTGCTTTTTATAGCAACCGTGTTCAGCTTCTAAATTATTGTGATTGGATGTTTCACTGACGTGTAACAGTCGGAATAAAAACTCTTTCATTTCTAATTGGAGCCTGGAGCTTGACTATGAAGACTTCGAGGGTGTGTCACATCCTGAGACTCAAACTACCAGATATAGACACAGCAGATCTTAAAATAACCGTCATAGGCCTGTCATAAAGAGAAAAGTTTTGATCTGGTAAAGTTGTAAACATGAAGGCAGTCAATGCTGTCTCCTGCATTCTACAGTGATAATAAGAGTAATAATAATAGTAGCAATAATAATAATTGTAATAATAATAATCTTTATTCATCCCATGATGGGGGAATTCACAGAGTCAACCGACACAGGCTGCCACAGGAGGCGCCATTAACTACATGGCTGCAACTCACAAGCCGTGAGTAGAACTGGATACTTGAAGAAGCCATGCTAACTCTACAAACACAACACTATATATATTTATATATATACTGTATATATATATAGAAAAGTGGCACAAAGCGATTAACTAAGCTGCCCATGTGTTCGGGAAAACCAGAAAAACAATTCCAATCGAAAATATATAACTCAGAAAAACTGTTCCTGGAAAATTGTTTCTTTTTTCTTCCTGTCCTTTTCTGAGTGAATGCAAACAGGTTACGATAAACATTATGCTAAGTTATGTTTGTTGTCACACTGTTCTCAATGGCCGTTATCCTTCCTCTGCTTCCTGCCAGCAGATGACTGTATCAGCCAATGAAAGTTGCACGTCACCCTGGAGCAGCTCCTCAGTTTCCTGTTTCCCTGTCACTTTGTCTCCAGATTCAGAGACCGTTCAGAGGTTGTTTAGAACTCAGGCCTAGAGACATGGCAGCGACACTGCAGCAGTGCCAGTGTTGGTCAACGAAATAGACTGTGTGGTCGGAGAGTGTATTTCTCCCTGGCTGCCACTGGCTCCTCTCTCTGTTACAAACATGAGCTTTGAAGTGATCTGGGAAATGTATGATTGGAACCGTAGAGGAAAAGACTTCTCAACTAACTGGGAGGACGGGGGCCAAATATTGGTCTGTCTGTCACACTGTATGTACAGGAAAAGAGAACCACAGGCACATGCACCGATTTAAACAGTACTAGAGTACTACTAGTACTACTACTAATCCACAGCTGTGTTAAAACAGAGGCCGTTGAATTTTCTTGTCTTTCACACACACCCACATTTCTTCTCTGACTTCCAGGTAGCCTGCACAAACTGGAAGCGTGTCCTGATGGTTCTCACCAGCGACGGCCGCTACACCGACCCACTGGCCATTCCTGCCAACGAGGCACACATCGTGGGAAACCTGCGCACGCTTTCAGAGTTTTCAGTCCCGGAGATCAACCAGCGCCTTCGCAGCTACCTCAAGTTCATCTTTGTTCGGGAGCCCTTTGAGCGCCTGGTGTCCGCCTACAGGAACAAGTTCACACGTCACTACAACACCGCTTTCCACAAGCGCTACGGAACCAAGATCATCCGCCGCCACCGGCTGAATCCGGAGCCTGAAGCCCTCCAGCGAGGCCACAACGTTTCCTTCCACGAGTTCGTCCAGTATCTGGTGGATCCTCGGACCCAGAGGGAGGAGCCTCTGAATGAGCACTGGGAGCGGGTGCACTCCCTCTGCCACCCCTGTCTCATCCACTACGATGTAGTGGGCAAGTACGAGACCCTGGAGCAGGACGCCCAGGCCGTGCTCAAACTAGCCGGAGTGGAGGGAACGCTGAAATTCCCGACGTCTGGGAAAAGCACCAGGACTGACGGGGACATGTCTGCACGTTTTTTCAAACAAATCAGTCCTCTGTACCAGAAGAAACTGTTCAACATGTACCGCATGGACTTCCTGCTCTTCAACTACTCCACGCCTGAGTACCTCAGGACGCAGTGAGAGGGTCAAAGACACAGGCTTCACGGCCCATGAGGACATTTTGCACTTTGTGATCCATCACAGAATTGTCACTACTACCCCTCCAATCCCCTGCCCCCAAAAATACCCCCTCACCTGTGGAGAATGTGATTTGATTCTCTGGTGTTAGTGAATGACAGAAATGTTTTTACGAGGAAGGAAAACAAAAAAACAAACAGTCACAATCTGTGCTGAAATCAACCAACAAAGCTTTAACTAGTGCTTCGTTCTGCTAACAGCCTGTTTCCAAAAATCAGCATCTACATGAACTCATCACACACATTTGTGTTTTCTGTCAGAACTAGAGCTTCAGTTAGAATTCTGTATTTATTTTTCCATCCACCTGTTTGCCATTTCTTGCATAGGACTTACATTGTCACGTTCATCTAACCTTCCTTTGACTCGTAGATTTTTTTGAATTTTTTTTTTTTCACGTGTCACATGTGGCTGTGGAGCTGGTGTTGGTTTAACGTGCCTTACCTTTGCTGTGGCCCGCACCACAGTTTTAAAAAGAAAAAACATAATTTCCTTTGGTTTGTTGTTTTTGTGCCTGAGTCAGAGCCCAGAGGAGCAGGCTCTCCTCTCTGTCTCACTCTCTTCTGCTCACAGGTGAATGTGTTGACTGTGAACCAAAATGCAGCATATCATCATCATCACCACCATCATCATCATCATCTCCATCACCTAACGACAGCACAATGTTTCTGTGAGGCCTTAATTTATGTGTGTCAGAGCATGAAGTATTTATTGTTTGAAACGTGTGGAGTCGGAGCTCCTGTATTGTGAAAGAATGAATTTGAAAACGAGGGAAGTTTTGTTTTTTTTAGTAAAATTCACTTGCATGGAAAATCACTTGCTGTCTCTTGATTTTTTTTTTTTTTCCTCATACAAACTGATGCCAAATGCACATTTTCGGTTCGTCAAACCCAAACTAAATCCAGACCGTATGGTATTCCTGGACACCGTCTTTAATCCTCTGTCACTTTCACTGAATTCCGCAGTCATTTCTGCAGGAACGTGTCACCGACTTCTCCTCTATCAGACTCTGTGCTCGGCTCTGCTGCAGGTAGACTGAACAAACAGCAGCATAGCTGTGGTCAGGACTGGTTCCATCGCAGAACTGACTCCTGCTCAGAGCTCTCCTTGTTACCACCGAGGCAGGAACACCAGGGGTTAATCCACATCCAGTGATCTGCTGAGCACTGAGACGGCCTGTTCACCATAGGTCAGCATATTTATGCTAATAGTCCAGTGGTTAATGAAGAAATATGTTTCATAGGGAGCTACAGCGAACAACCAACATCCTGGAAACGCATTGAAATTATTTTTAAAATCTGGAGACTGTGGTACCAAGAGGTAAGACGGGTTTGGGTCGTGTTAAAAAAAATAGTATAGAAACAGAGCCCCAGATTTAACCTCTCCAAAAGGAGCAGTGAGTTCTCTCAGCAACCAATCACAGCCGGCCGGGGGGATTCAAACCTACAACCTTTCAGTTACAATGACTGATCTCTTCCTGCTTTGGCTCCAACCACCAGCCAAACGGACTAACTTATCTATGAATGTATAATTAACTGGATTATTTACAGCAACACTGACTGAAAAAACGAAGTCAGTTTTTACAATCTGATAATGTTATTTATTACAGTTCTTGTAAATAAATTATGTTTATTTGACAGATTTCGACATGTTTTTAGGAACATGCTAAATAATAAAAGGTCATAAGTATATGAGGAATATTTACTTTTAAAGTAGTTTTTTTTAAATACATTCCATACAAAACCTGCAAAGTTAACTTGAATATTCACATTTGTGTTTTTTAACAGGTGCTATTTGATACTCAGTATAATTTGATTTTAGATTTTTTTATTCTTTTTAAACCAGCTGTCTTTGATTTTTGAGACATCATCTGGGAAATCTTCTTGCAGCTGTGTGGGGTTTTTTGGAAGCTATTTTTGCTATTCTATGCTAACCAAAGTATCCTTCAAATGTTATCTATGTTTAGTCCATTAGGAAATGTGAGAAAAATATGAGTTTAATAATGTTAGGAAAATGTTTACAGATTAAAGAAAAAAAGGGCTAAAAACAGGGAGTTTTGAACAAAATTGCTTTGTTTATAAAATAAAAGCTGTTCATAGAGCAAAACAAACATTGACTTTTATCCAGTAGTACTTTAAGAGGAAAAACTGTGAGCAGTGTGCCCCCCCCCCAAAAAAAAGAATATATATATATATACACTGTATATCAAAAAGGGAGTTCCTGATGGACTACCCATTGATCCTGGACTGTTGCATCAGCCCCTGGGAGAACAGCAGAGAACATCAGTGAGAGCCTGAACATTGTGCACAGGTGGGCCGGTGACACTGAATCATTCCAGGTGGTGTAACTGAAAGATTCTGAAGATTCTGCAATGTTAACGGCTGTATTGTGAAAATCCACAGGCACTGACATGTTTTTATCTCCCTCCTTGTCTGTCGTGGTTACATGTGGATGGGATTTCAACACCTTGACACACACGGACTCTCGCTCGGTGCCATGTATTCAGTTTCATTCCACATTAAATAAGATGAACGAAGAGCAAATGCTGCGTTGTAACATTTTCCACTCTTCACCATGTCATATGGCCCTTAAGCATTTAAGGGAGGATATTAACTCATCCTGACTGGATTAGTTAATAACATTAAGATCAGCATTAATCTATAACTGGAATGTTTTTTGTTTGTCCGATTTTGTAGAAGAAAACAAGAGAAAATCAACTCACACTAACAACAACTTTTTCCAAATCACTCTCCAGTCACGGTAAACAAATATGTTTGCACACATGGAGACGAGGTCGGCTCTGAGCCAACAGGAACCAACAGCTCCGTCTCATCCATTTTTCTGACGTTAAATATTTCATATTTGCTCGACACGTCTGCACAGGTTGACTGCAGGAAACATCGTTGTTTTCCTTCCCTGTCGTCTGGTAGAAAAGGTGCAAAACAATGTTTTATCCAAACCATATCTTCCCATAATCTATTATGGCCCCGATTGCCACAGATGGCGCCGTATTGATGATATAAAAAAAAAAACAATGGTCTCCAGCAGAGCAGGGCGTGATCTGCAGGAAGCTGGGACTCGCCAAAAAAAAAGCCCCCAGTGTGTTTTGTTCTTTCTGCCTCAGTGACAAGCTGCACAAAAGATGTATTTTGACGTTTACATTTTTTTTTTCATTTCATTTTTGGAAAAGACAGAAAACAATAAGTCAGCGGCTCTTGTTTTCGAAACGGGATTGTTTTTCCAGCTCAGATGCCCAGACTGTGCTCTGCTAAAAGTGAATTAGTCAGAACTCTCCTCCCTAGCTTCTAAAAAATGAAAAACAAAACATAAAAGTGTCATTTTGTGGCCGGGATCAAAATTGCACATCCATTTCTCCTTTAGCATTCAGAGCATTACTAGCATTTATTAAAGATGTTATTGTACACCGGCCAGCTCCACAAAATACTTCAACATATTTGATAAACAAAAATAAATATCATTTTCAAACAGATTTTAATACCAAAACATGGTAGGAACTGTTTTTTAAATTTACATTTCTGCCAGGAGTTGATCAGGTTTGTTTGTACGGTGGAAAAATAAAGAATTTAGAGGAAAGAAAACCAACCACAGAAACCTGTCAAAACAAATTAAGAGCTTTGCTAAAGGTTTGTTCTTTTTTTCCTAAAAATTATTTAACATTATTTGACAGTACAAGAAACATGACATCAGATTTTATATGAGGTAAAGTAGCGGGGCGCGGCCTGGTGCTATAGCCATTCTTTATAATTCCAAAAAGAAGTTCTTTTCTGATGGAAAAACCTTTTACAAAAGTGTTTGGATTTAAAATATAAACTTCAGTATAGCTATTTCTGGGTTAGCTGTTCGCTATTTCTTTGCTCGTTGTTCGACATCGCAGACAATTCTTGGCTAATTTGTTATAATTCTTCGATATAACCTGGAATGATCTGAAACACCATTTAGTGCGAGTGCATTGATGTGGCTAATAATTAGCACAGACACTGAACATGAATTAGTCACTTATTTCTGTTCAGTGTCTGGAAAAACTAAACACAAAGAAATATTTTAGGGTAATCTGAATACATTTTTGACGTACTAAAGTATGCACTTGTTTATCTACTATTGAAAAAAAAGAACATTTTCAGTTTTTATTAAAATATATTTCACTGTACTCCCAAAGATCATATACCAGCTCAACAAACATCAGTGTTTCATGGGTTCTTTTTCACTTCTTCATTCATTACACAGTAAAGACCAAAGTGTCAGTGTGGAAGCACAGGTGACAGTAAACACGTGAGTACTAGAAAATAAAAAACTCTTCCATGTGGCATTTTTTAACACTGGAGCAGAGATTACTAATGAGCCTGACTTTCACGAATATTTACTTCAGACAGTGTTTTCAAGGCAACCATGAGATCCAAAGTGCAGGTTTCCAACAAGTCATTTAAGTCATTTACCAACTGAATTCTCCTGTTGACCAATCACAAACCTTTAGCTAGCACGCTACAAGCCATGGATAGCAACATACAAATCGGACTGTTATTAAAAAAAGAAAAAGAAAAATCAAAACTGGATCAAAGAAGTTTTCACTGTTATAATTCAAAATAATAATTTGCTCAAAAAATCTATAAAGAATATTTCTGGACAGTTTGTGCCATACATGTTAACCTAATGTGGGCAAATAAACGGAACTGCTTACAGGAAGTTCCACAACGGTTTCCCTTTTAGTGAGAATCAAATGGAGGTAGAAACTCAGAGAAAACCCGTGTATTTCCCATTTCCTGTTTCCTTTGAACAAACAAATATGTTCATGAAAATGGACTAAAATACATAAAGATATTTGGCCAAATTTGAAATATTAATGTATTTTTGGGGATGGGCATTTTCATATAACATAAATTCCTTTTATAATTTGACATTTCTTTCTGGTGAGACTGTATTTATTAACTGTGAACACGAATGAGTAATATCACTAAACAACAAATGGCTTCATCCACTGAAGTGAACTGTAACTTTGTATGTGAAAAGTCAACAATTGGAAATGTAGTGGACTCATGGAGTTAATGTGGGTGTGTGTGTGTGTGTGTGTGTGTGTGTGTGTGAGGTGAGCCCAACAGACACATTTCCACGGGCTCTAGTTACACACTCTCTCTATCAAAGCTCCATTTCAACAGTGTCACGGCTGCTGCTTCTCCACATACACAGTCCACTAGAATCTACTCCTTTGTTACTTTGTGTAGTGCAGGAACTACTGCGTCACAGTACGACGATAAAAACTCGGCGCAAAGTAACAGTCGTATAAAAACAAAAAACATCTCAGGTTCCGGCGTCTGCGGTGGTGTTGTTCAGTGTGAGGTTCTGATCAGTACAGAGATGTGGCGCGAAAAATAAACGTGTTGCAGCCAACTGGATGTGAGCGACGGAAGACTTCAGGTCCAGAAAAATGTTTCTGACTTTTACAGTGTTTAAATCAATGAGATCAAAATGAGGCCAAAATATTAAAACATGCGCATGTGTACCAAGTATTTGTGCTATATCACGAAAATACGATAATGCATTAGTGACGGCGTCTGCAGCAACGCGGCTAAAATGGATGGATGGTCCGTCTGCTGCTTTTTATAGAAATAAAATTCCATATATTCATGGATATCATCATGCAAATTAGGGACTAGTATAAATTATAACAAACAATATTGGTATAAAACACAAGAAAATCATTAATTTTACACATTTATTTGCAAATGGTTTTTGCTTTATCAGGGCAGAAAGTCTAAAAACGTAAACTGAAGTAGTTAAAACCTATATTTATTTTGTTTTATTACCGTGACCCTGGTCTCTGGATCCAGCTGTTCATGTTTTTCAAACGGTTAAATGTTTTATATATTTAATATATATTCTGATTGTGCTTTCCTGTGTCGAGTGGTTCTTGCTGTTTTGGTTTGTTGTGGAGACCACAGAAACTAACATCTGTGGTTCTTTTACATCACGTATCACCTCAGAATATATATGTCTACCACCTGTACGACCCACATGACAACACAGCAGCACAGGCCTAATCATGTTTGACTGGACAGCATATTCCTAATAAGATAATAAGCCCTGTCATTAGCGAAAGCCACCAGTGTCCAATAAAGAAGTATTAAGAATTAATTAGAAAAAACCAAACAAAAGAACAACCCCATTCCCTTCATGTCGCTAAAGGGATATGTGTACCACCAGTGGTATGTGTACCGTATTTTGAGAACCACCCATTTTAGTAATTGTATGTGACACAACAGCTACCAAAGCAGAGATTGTTACTTTGAACTAAAAAGAGAAGTAAATTTATCTTTAAGAGATAAGAGAATAAAATAAGACTGAAAAAACGTGACATTTCAAACAAACCAAATCTGTGTGATTTTTTTTTTCATTGATATACAGTGACTGCAGAGTGGATGATGACAGACTTTCTTTAACCACTGCTCTGAGCCAGGCTATTGGTTTCCCCTGCTGCAGCCAATGGGGGCTCTGATGTCGTCTCCTCTAATGACCGCCGCACATTCAACTGTTGTAAATCAATTATTCACCACTGGTTCGTCCAAAAGCAAACACACACACCTAGTTAACAGCTCTCCTCCTAATGACATCATTTCCACCGTGCAGCTGAGTCATTAGGGTTTGGGCCACGATGATGTCCCAAACCCTGACTGCAAACAGAAAATAGGAGTTTGAAAACAAAGCCAAAGCCTGAGGGAGAAGTGACTTTTTTCCTGGTGAAGTGTCTCCTCCTACTGTATCTGTTTCTCCTTCTTCCTCTGTAGTAATACACTCATACCAGCTCCTTCAACTGCCTGTTTGAATCCAGCCCTGTGTAGAGTTAGAATTAGATTTTTGATTTGAGGATATGGTACTGCAGTGTAAACCCAGTCTGTGCAGCACCAATTCAGTGTGAGGTTGAAGGTCTCTATTCTCTAAGAGCAGAGAACACAGGCAAAGCCAAATGTTTTCTCCTTTCTGTTCCACCACAAAAAGTCACGATCGACCTCCTGCTCGGCGCTGTTTCAAAACTAATATACAATGCGACTACGGAGCTTCAGGATGTGCAGCGTTCACATGGAGCCATTGCTGGAAAATTCACCATTTAAATGAAGCATCTATATACAACTGTGGTCACTGTAGTACATATGCCAGGTCTGTATGTGGCGCTGTCTCACCCCCGTTCTAACATACTAACACCGGATGAATGGCGTTCCTTATAAACCTTTGGAATAATTAGCTGTAGCACACCAAGTAGCCTAATTAGCCTCTCTAGCAAGGTCAGAAGTAGCCTGGCATCCACCATTGTTGTTTTTGTGTGCCGCTGAGCAGAGGTGACTGGGGTTAAAGGTTGTGACCCACATCATCTCACCTTGCTTTGTTCACATGGAGACACAGAACCAGAGTTTTCAAACGTCTCTACTATGGGACCTGTAGAGTTCACCGCCCTAAAACCTCGGATTCTCCTAAATGTAAAGCCAAATCTGCGCCACTGCTCTGTGATCGATAGTCGTATCTTCAGCATGTTAACAACCCTGTTTCCTCTGAAGTACATAATAGGTGGAGTAACTGCAACTATAATGCAGGGTTTGAGGTGAAGCCAATAGTGTAGCTCATTAAAAACCACACCCCCTGGCCTCCAGAGTAAATGTGCTATCATTACATCCAGCTGCCGTCATGTCAAGATTAATATTAACGTAATAAAACTTAACGACTTGTACGTGACGCCATGAACTGTCATCCAGGTGTGAGCTGTTCAGAAGCTGGAGACAATAAACCCAGAGTAAATGTTTTAATGTGTGACTAAGTGACCCCATGTGGGCTCTCCACTCATCACTACACCTTTGAAAATGTCTGACAAAAACAAATCCCTAGACTGGCCTTGAGATGAAGGTGGACAAATGATTTATTGACAAAACTTCCATCAACACGTCAGAGTCTAGCAATCAGAGTCTGTTCAACTCCAAAAGGAAGAGCCAAATCACAGAGCCAGGCTGTGAATTAATGACACACAGTGGAAGCACAGAGCCAGGAAACCCGTGCCCAGCAGGTCGCCCAGGGCGGTCAGGTAGGGGATGGAGAAGTTGTCAGGGTCCAGACTCTTCCTCCACATGAACCTGACAATGAGGTCGGCAACATATAGGAGGATGGCCACCTATGATGGAGAAGAGGTTTTACTTTTCTGAACGTGGTGCAATGAGGTCAAGCTGAAGACAAAGGCTGACAGAAGCAGGGATTAAACAGTTGTATCCAGGGTCCTGGGCACAGACATGAAGGCAAGCTTTCCAAACAATGTGGTCTGAATGGAAAAAGTCTGTTCAGGAAACTAAAGATGAAGCAAAGAAATAAAAGCAATCAAATTAATGAGAGGTTACAAGTCTGACCATGTGACCATTCACATTCACTTCAGTTTCTGATCACAGACAGAAAAGGCACAGCTCGATGTCTCCCTGCCTCTATCCATTTAGAAATCGGTGCTCTGATGAACACATTTGTATCCACTTCAAGAAGGAAAAAGGGAAGAAAGGGAGGAAGGGAGGAAGAAAGGGAGGCAGGAAGGAAGGGTTTACTTAAGGTCATCTGATAAAGCCACAAGAGTCTGATCCACCCTGCTCCTTACATGCCTATTATGAAATAAACCTTTTATAGAGCGAGTGATGTTAACTTAGGTTTTCAATCACATGTTAAAATGTTTGTGAAAACTGCTGCAGCTAAGTCTGGTTTAAACTTCTCTGGACACGGTGGAATCAGGAAACGTTGTCCTACATTACTTTACCACAAAAACAGTCGCAGACGGGAGACTTAAGATCAGAAAGTCTTCTGGGAATGTCTGGCCGAGTCATTTTTACAAACACATAGTAGCTGAACGACAGCATGTTGTTAAGGTCAGCGAGGTCACGAGGTCAGGAGTGAAGAGAACTTTCACCTTTGCCCTGGTACAAATCGCACCGAGCTGCTGACTCATCAACATCTGTCACGGCTCATTTCACAGGCAGGTTACAGTGGGCCGCAGACCTTTTTTACTCCAGTAGATTGTGCTAAAGCACCGTAACGTCACTTGCGTGATTCGATTTCATTCGAAGTCAATTCAACTCGCCATTCGAGGTCATGAGAGTGCAGTGCTTTTACTAAGGTTCGGAACATCTCACCTGGAGCAGAGCAGCACAGATGTAGCAGATGGTGAAGGACACAGAGATCGGCGCCTCATCTCCCTGCAGCAGAGAGATGGCGTAGAGGAAGACCAGGTGACCGGGGACCACCAGCATCATCAGCACCCGAGCCGACTTGGAGTTCACACCTGCCACAGTCACGGAGAGAAGATAAAAATGAGGAGTCGGAAATTAAAGATTGCATCTTTGATTTCATTTCCATTTCTAATTAATGGCGCCTCTTGTGGTCGCCTCTGAGTGTTCCAAGACTCACACTGTGAATTTCCCTATTATTGGATGAATAAGGGACTTCAAGTCTTGGGAATGGAACCAAGACCCTTATAATGGGCCCACCCTGAGCTGGACCTATTACCAATAGAAAACCTTGTTAAATACCAATGCTACTTTGGTCTGATTGCGGTTGTGTTACCTGCAGAGAAGAAGGTGATGCAGGGATTGGGCCAGTGTTGCCTCATCTTGTACGGCAGAACTCCTGGGATGCTCCAGAAGTGAAGGTAGGTGGAGATCCTACTGGCCTGGATGGCCACCAAGTTACCACCCACTCCTACAGAGAGAGAAAGAAAATATGAATGAAAAAAAAAAGAAAAGAACATCAGAGCCCACCACATTGTGTCAATGTATTGTTTTTGTAGTTTTGTTTTTTTTTCTTTGTTCTTTTCCAGTATATTTATTAAGGAAAATAGGAGTTGATTTAAAAGTCATGATGGGAAAATTCTTCTCAGCTTTAACAATTAAGTCAAATAGTGACACACAATTGGCTTCCTTCAGACTGACTGGATATTTAGTTTAGTTTTGTTTTTGAAACCATTTTTACTAGCTTAAAAGATTCAGAAAAATATTGCTTGATTAAAAAAGTTTAATTTTTAATATTTAAATGTAGTGAAGTGTTACACTTTGGGCATCTAACATTGCAATACCTAACCACCCCACAAGAGGGCCGTGTCTGCTAGTTTACCATTATGTCACCATTTGAAACTGAAATGAAAGCGCTGCTGTCAGAAATGTACTTTGTTATTCAACAATAGACTGAAAATTACATTTTCTTCGTTTCAGTTCTGATCCAGTTCTACTGACTACAGTCAGCAGGGGCCGGGTCGGTTTGGACATGTTCAACAGTCAAGATGATTTCAAAATCGAATTCATATTTTCTCTTTGTAATGCAGGGAAAACCCAGGCTTAAAATGTCTGGCCGCAACCAAAACCTGTTTTCAGACAGAAGAAAAGGTAAACAGTGTATTTAAAATAGGAGTTTCTTTTCATACTCCTCATGTTAACCATAACCTGCCCTCTGCTGCAGAGCCAGGTTTCTTCTCATTTCAGATCAACAGTTCGAGATCCCATAAGACTTTAGAAGTCCGGTGTAATTGTGTGTCAACAGAACAATCTGTTTCTCATTCTCTTACATTAAACATCTTCTCAAGTTATTTATCCCTGCGCAAATGTGCGCAGATGTTCTTTAGGACGGATGAAAAAGGCTTAAAGAGAGAGACAACTTTGAATAGAACATATTTTTTCATTATTACTGTGGGCCAGTGAAGGATGAGGGGAAACACAAACCAGATTGGTCTAAGGTTTGGGATTTCATCGCAAGAGGAAAAAACAGAACAAATGAGAAACAGTGACAGGGAGAGATGATGGTTATTAAAGGCCAGTCAGCTGTTCCTGGATACTGACTCGGCACCATTAGTGGTTTAAATGGGCTCCTTCACATACTAAGTCACAGTACACGTCTCCTCAAGGCCAAACTATTAATTTTAAAGCAAGACGTTTCTTTTTTTGCTCCCATTTTTCTTTCTGACAGAATTAGTGAGTGAACTTTATTGCTGCATCCAAATGAGGCATATTTCATTTTCTGCTTCTACACTAGATTTTTATTTTTATTTTCCTGATGAGAAAAAAAACAAGACTCTGCAAGCTGTGAAAGGCTGAAAATTGTATTCATACATTTGTCACTATCAAAGATGCTACATCATCATTTCCAAACTGATATGTTTACGCTTGTAAGAACAAAACTTTATAGAGAAACTATTAAAAACTCTCCCTTTAAAGCTTTGCAATGCAATTTTCAGAGTCACCAAAACGACTTGATGCTCCATGTGTTGGCCTTGGTAAGTCTCAAACGGCCGCTGCTTCTGTAAATGTTCCAGTGGGTTTGAAGCTCCATTTACCAAAGTCCTGGGCAGATGTACCCATGTTTTCTCTTTCTTTCAGATTCTGGGCCCATTGGCTTTAAACGATGTGCACTTTCAAATTAGAGCCAAATATTTTCCACAGTTTTAAAGCAGATTATCTTCACGTCTGCCACCGGTTTTACTCCATCGTGCAGAGTCCATTTGCAGCTACTCTCACAAGAGACTACAAAAGAATGAAATGAGGAATAAAGCTAACCACACGACTGTGCATAATAATCTTAATAACAATAATAATAATAATATTAAAAATAATAAACCTAATAAAATAAAGATAATAATAATAATAATGAAATTGAATGCTTTTCATTTTTATCATTGATTTGCATCCCAGTAGGAACAATTACAACAATAGGCTGATATTTGAAGTCAGTGTTATTATGTAACTGTTGTTACCACAGGAGGATAAATGAGTCATTCAATTTTAAAATTCTGGATAATCAAAAAATATTTTTTTAGTTCTTACAGCAGGAAGATTTTATCACATTTATGGGTTTTCTGAATTAAGTTGTATGTTTTTCCTGTAGATGTGATTTACTGTGGGTTTAAGCAGGAAGAGATGAAATAATAATTGAGAAACAAAACCGCAGGCATAACGGAACAGCCAATGACAATAAACACACCAGTGTTCCCACACAAAATTATAGCATGGCTTCTCCTTTGCATGACATACGTTTTCAGGAGTGTTGCCAGTGAAGTTGAAGATGAGACAATGATGTCCTGAAATAGTCCAATACAGACATGCTTCTGTCCACCAACCCAGTCTGGCTGTTCCTACTGTAATACACCTATCTACCTACAGCCTGAAGGCCATTCACATTCTGCAGCAGTTTCTCTTGTCGGCCTCTCTCTGCTGCTACACCAATCATCTCCATCTCCTAGTTACTCCATCCATAAATCTTCTCTGGGCCCGTTCTTCTTTCCTCCTGCCTGGCAGCTCCATCTCCATGTCATGTCCAAACCACTCCACCCTCGTCTTTCTAACTTTGCCTCCAAACTGCTCCACCTTAACTGTCCCTCTGATCTGCTCATTTCTAATCCTGTCCATCCTGGTCACTCCCAGAGAAAATCTCAGCATCTTCATCTCTGCCTCCTCCAACACAGCCTGTTCTGTTAGACAGAGCCATTGTCTCTATACCCTACATCATAGCAGGTCTCACTACTGTCTTCTAAACCTGACCTTTCGACGTTGCTGCCATTCTTTTGACAAATCACCCAACACTTCATCTAGTCCACCCTGTCTGCAAACCTTACTTCACCTCTTCTGTGTACTATCCGTTATCCACCTTTACTGCCTCCACATCCACTTTCATCAGTTTTCTTAATGTATATTAATATGAGGTTTTTAAGGCTTCCATGATGCACTGTATTTCAAGTTATTCTGCAGGCAAGAAAGAATTTGATTGGTTAATTGAGTTTGTTTGTTTCAGAAGTTAATACTGAGGTATAAAAAAAACACCATTTTGAGATACATACTTTCCTTAATGATAAAAAATGTTTATTATTTTCTGTTACGCTTTAATTCGAGTTCTGTTGTTTTAGGGAAATGAACCCTAACCACACATAACTTTTAAGACATATCTGACAGGGAACTTTAGTGTGTGCGTCGCTTTAAAATCCACTGATTTTTTTTTTTTTTTTTCAGACTCAAAGCAGAATATACATCAGTAAGTGGCTACATATATATGAACGTTTGCTTACAATTTCCATATACACCGCTCTGAAGAGCTTCCTCCCAAAGAGCTACAAGACAAACTCATCACTCAGTGATGACATCAGCTCACCATTAATGACGGGGGTGAAGACGGCCATTCCCTCAAAGTTCGGATCACTCACTGTCTTGTCCAGAATGAGGCCTCCGAAACTGTGACATCACAAAGAAACACACACAGTGTGAGTTAGAGACGTGGCCCTTTTTTTTTCTTCCTTTAACTAGCCTGGTGTCAGACCAGCGGAAACCACTCACATTACGAGTCCCAAGAGACGGGCGCATGCACACACACACACAGACACACACGCACTTCATTATTTATCCTTTTCACCTCATTAATCTGTTTGTGAACTTGGTGGAGACTCAGCACTTTCTAACTATATACAGCTCACAGCATTATGTAGATGTTTATACACAGGGCTGTGCAGTAAAAAGAAAGTCAGCGTCCACATGTCCACATGATGGACGTACAGCTATGTTCATATTCCAGTTGAGAGTCCTTAAACATCTTACATTTTTAAATAAGCAGTATTTTTATGTTCAAATAATAACTTAAAGGATGGAAATTGAAAGTCAAGATGGATATACCTGCTGATGGACATGGCAACTATAACAGGCTGCCACCCCGAGCGAAGAACCTCCTTTGTCTGAGGACTCTGTTGGGCCACGACCACCCAGAGTGGGATCAGAGCCAGGAAGAGCAAACACACCAGCGGTGACAGGTACCACATGTCTGCAGGACGAGGGGAAACCAGAGACTTCTTTATAATAAACATCCTTTATTTACCCAAACACAAGTGGATGGTGATTACAATGGTTCACAGCAGAAAGATTTTCTCAGAGTCTAGAAAAGTTTCTTTTTTTTTTTGTCTGTAGAGTCAAATTTTTTCGTGGGACTTTTGCAGAGAGAAGTGAAAATAGTGACCTGTGTGGGATTTTTTCTGCAGATTCCATGTTGTCTTGTAAAAAGTACCAGAACTACTCCTAACCATAAATATCATTAAAATGTACATTTGTTTTCCCCTCATGTAACAAAGAGAGCTAATTTAAATTTGAAGACTTACTACAGCCTCTAATGATCTTAACCGACACTTAACTTACTCTTTTATCTCCAGTATGACGGACTGGACATAAGAAATGTTATTGTTTAGGTTTTTTGTCTATCTGCCAGCATTAATGTTGCAGCAGGACCGTCACGTTGCATGACATGCATGAAGATAAATACACAAGATGATTTGTCTTAGTTGTGTGTTTTGCAGTCATTTTATGGTTATGAGTAGCTTATGTGTTCCCTGAAAGAGCTGAGAAGAGATTTTGCTGTTTAGGCTAAATGAAACCATTCACACATTTAGGAAAAACACACAAACACAGACAAGTAGTTAACTGGTAGGTGAGAGGAAATGCCACGTTTATTTAAAAGATGTTCCCAAGTTGTTGTTTGTTTTAAAGCAGGATTTGCACAGGTCACTGTCTCAGGGCCTGATCGAATGCTGCCTCGTCATTAAGACAATTTGAACTTTGTGAATCGCTAGGGTCACATGTGTTCACTCTTTACTGGTGGCGTGTGTGTCAGTTACTGTAACACCAACAACACACCCTGTTCCAGCAAACAGACAGTTCGCTGGAACAAGCTGACAGTTGCATGACAGGTACTGGGATTCATGGGAAATAAAAACAGCTTCACCTACGGGCACCAAGTCTGATATGTTCAGTTTGGTCTTGTCTCTTCTGATCTACTCTGACATTTAACCCTTGACAGGATATGAGTTGAGTGTCTGTGTAAAGTTACGCAACAAAAAGTGGACACACAGATGGTTTCTGTTCTCCTTTTCCCGTGACAATTCGATTCTTCCTCTGCCTACTTAGTAGTTCTTAGTCACATCACCACAAGACTGCACTGATAGTTCAAAAAGATCTAATGCATAAAATCAATACCATGTGTACCTAATGAAATGGTGTCTAATGCATAAAATCAGACAATACCATGTGTACCTAATGAAATGGTGCATTGATTCTTCTAAATTGTATGTGTTGTGCTCTCAAATAAACTTGTTATTAGAGTTATTGACTTCCTGTCAGCTCCAGTCTGTCTCCTCTGACCTTGGGAATATTTACTAACTACTTCCTACTTTTGGAGTATTGTGTGTAATTCCTGAAAAGAGTAAATGCCCATATTCCTGCAGAATTCAAAATACTACAACACTTTTGTCTGGCACTAACAAAACTGACCTTTCAATCTGTATTCTGAAGCTCAGTTTGAGCCTTGACCATGTTTTTATACCAAAATGTACATAGTTGCAGCTACGTGAGCATTAGTTAAGTTAAACGGGTTAGCTGTTCCTTTATAAAGCAACGGACAAAGCACATGATGGAAAGACGTCTAGGAAAATATATCTGAACTTTGCTGCCACCTTGTGTTGTAAGTAAGCATATCCATAAATCTAGACATGACACGTTTATTTAGTTAGTTAGATTAAGGCTGTCAATCTATTCAAATATTTATTCGCTGTTAATCAAATTATTAGCAACAGTTAACATACATTAAATTGCAAATAAATCGCACATTTCTACTGGTGTTAATTGTATCTTTAGAAGGTTACTTTTTCAATATTATAATACTTTGATAAACATGGAGTCAAACAAATATTTATTCTATTCACATTTTTTCATTATGCTAGGACACAAATGGAAGAAAGTATGTTCCAGAATCTTCTGCAGAATCATTCCAGAACACATTAACTACCGTACAATGAATATTGAAGCATGTAATGGAGGGAGAATCCCTGAGTAATACTTTGTGGTTTATTAGAATTGTTTCACCTGAAACAGGATGGAAGCATTGTTTATTTCCACTTTGTAGTTTGTTTGTAAAAGAATGTATGTGAAAAACCCCGTGTTGTTATGTCAACTCACTTCTCTCGTCACATTAACTCTCTTTAACATTCACAGCAGGATTTTAAATATTTTGTATTCACATCACTGTTGTCAGTAATGACACCAAAACACATAAACAAGTGTTACATTGTACTATATCCTAACCGTATTTGCTACCCCCAAACCCCATTCTGTGTACTATATATACTCACCTCTGTAGGAGAAGAGTGTACTACTGACCCCAGCCAGCAGGGACAGCGTGATCAAATCCCCCAGACTGGCAGCTATCGGGGTGGCCACATTATCAGGGTTGATGCCCACTTTTCTGGAACCAATGATGACTCCAACCATCACCAGGCCTAAGGAGGTGAAGAGAAGTGAAGAGGAATTTATGCAGAGAAACTGTAGAGGAACGCAGGACCAGAAAAACTGCAAACAGTGTTCCTTCTCATTTAGATGAAAGCAAAACATAATGGGAACAGAGAGTCAAGTCTTTTGACAGAACAACTCAACACAGAGCTTCCACCTGACAGAGTTGGTTTTTCAGTGACAGACTACTGCCAATTCAACACAGAGCTTCCACCTGAGAGCGTTGGTTTTTCAGTGACAGACTACTGCCAGAGTGAGCATTAGTTTTTAAACCAGCTGCTTGTGGAAGTGAAGACAATAAAACCATGTATAATTTATCAGAAAATTCAGAAACAGAGTAAGATGAGAGAATCTAGAGAATGTTATTTTCTATACAATACAATAATATAATTATTACTATTTTACTTTTGGAAGTTTTCCAACTGCATGCTATATACAGTACTAAAAGTATACAGTAACTTGGGCATCTGTACATACATTATTAATTAGCATTAACCACCAAGACTTTAAACACTGCAGTAATGCTGTAAAAACTGGTTAATATAAATATTTAAAGCTACTTTTCTATTAAATTAACATCATCATCATGTAGTAATAGACCGGATTTTTAGTACAGCCTGTATGAAAAACAAAACAAACACCCAGATCACGTACCTAAGGACAGAGCAGCTACAAATGCTGTGGTGATGCTGCTGGCACACAGAACAGCAGCCTGGTCCAGTTCAACACCTCCTCTAGAAATGGCACCTAAACAAATAGCTGCCACTGCAGCCAGGAAGCCCACCACTGTTGCCTGGACCTGCAGAAAACAGCAAAACAAAAATGAAGCAGTGGAGACGTCAAGTATTGAGTTGGTTATCTAATGGTAAAGTTTTAGAAATAAACCAGACTCTAAATTTGGCCATGGGACAAAACATAATTTTCCTCCTTCTTTTTCCTTTTGCCTTCTCTTTTCAGAGGGCATGATAACAGATCATCACCCTCTGTCCCACCTAATCTTCTGCCTCGTCTATTTTTACACAAACAATCTGTACTGTATGTCCCCTTTGAACGCATCCATAAATCTCCAAACTGCTCCACCCTAAACACCCTAGCAAAATAGATTCACCTAGGCACCAGGATAGATACAAGTTAGCCAAAAGATGACATGATGGATTTGCTGCCAACATGGTTTAAAATTCCTCACAAAGGATTTTTCAAGACAGCATTTGATGTATTAGTATATTTTCCTAGACTAGAATATATTCTGTGTTACCTGTATTAGTGCCAGATTGCTGCAGGCCATAATCCACTGTTTTTTCGGGTCATCCAGTTGTCCTGTGTTGGCCTAAAAACACACATACAACATACATATCAGATGTTGTTTTAGATCAGCGGTTCTTGATCTTTTTACACTGTGTACAATCTTAAATAATTCATTTCGGCAACTACAACCATTATGACTAACAGTACAGAGAAAAGGCACCAGTCTACCCAGTTCATTTAATCATGTTCAAATAAGGATAATGAAGCATTACAACTGGTTCTGAAACCACACACATATAGCAAGTCGGTATATCTGTATAACAGTCGTATTTAGTAAAGTGATTCACAAACTACAACCCTTATCAGAACGACATCCAGGGTGTTCCACTAAGGGGCGCCCAAGCATCACCACTAGTACACATACCATAGATTGAAAGGCACTGTCTTAGATAAAAAGGTCGCCTTTATATATAAATATAAACAATCGGTACAACTTGTTAAGTTAAAGACCTGTGTACTCTTCCGTTTATATTTTAAATTCAAAATACTTTCACATTTTGAAATCTATTTTTTGGGTAAATCTTTACATCTTTATCTTTAAATTATATGTTTTCGTATGCCGAGAACAACAATAAAATTACAGTTAAACCTCACGTTTAGAGACAACATAACACATATTGAGACATTTTAAATAAATACAAATAAAGTCAGAACCAAAACTGAAGAGAAAATCAGCTTTATTTCCATTACTTATTTATTGTTTTTGCTGCATTTTGCAGCTAGAAATAGAAACTGTATAATTCTCTTCACAGACCTTAATTTTCTGACATGTAATAAGTTAGCGCTACCTACTTTTTGACCAACACATAGTGGCGCTACAGTAATGAATGTTGGACTTTTGAGGAGGACCTGTCTTTAATACTATATAAAATGACTCAGTCATTTCTTACAGCAGTAGAGAGTCGAGCTGCCAGAGTCATCTCCAGATTTCCTTTGAGTCCAACGAGAGCTGGAACCAGGATGAAGACCTCTGTTATCACCTTGAACACCTCCCAGTGCTGAAAAGAACATGAAACACAGGGAACACAAGTCAATTATATGTACTTTAAACACAAGAAGTACCGCCACCACCACTGAACTCCATGACTCTTCAAGGTGAAGTAAGAACAAGCTCATAACATATTCCAGACCCAGACTAACCCAGTGGCCTACTTCCCCTCTGTTTCTGTTTCCCTGAGCATCATGAAATGCTGCGGACATAATGCAGCCACTGGTTCACTGGGTTTGGAGGATGTTCAATTTACAGAATCTGCTGCCCTCTTATCTTTTTCTGACTACAACGGCAGCGGGCAGGTCCAAGAAGGTTTAGATCTTTAAATAGAAGCAGGTTTAAGAGAAAGGAAATGCTTCTATGAGCTGTAGAGAGACAGGAGGTAAAGAGGAGAAAGTCCAGCTAAGGTTAGTGACACAGTTGGACTGAAGACAATGAACTATCAGTGCAAATGTTTGAAAAAAGAAATTTCAGACCACTGTGTGTCTAACACTGCCTCCAGCCACTTGACAAAATCAATTATTTAAAGATAAAGAGATAAAAACGAGTTACTTTTTCTGCAAAGGAGAATCTCTCCACACTGTGTCCTCATGTGAACTTTTGATAATTGACTTTTGTGATATTCTTTTGTTGCAGTCAAAATGAACCCTTCGACAAAACTATTTCTGTATGGTTCACATAGAGCAAATAATAAAAAACCTAAAATGCAAAGCTAACAGCCAAGGTAAAAATATGAAGGTGCTGCTGACCTTTACATGATCAGAACGTATGTGCTGTGTGTAGCATTAATAAACCTAATTAGATAAGTGCATCAATCTGTCTCCATTCATCTCCGCGTGTGTGTCTATTTATACACACACACACCACTCTCAGGTTCTAGACTAGTGGGTCAGCTGACCTACTGTCATAGTTACTCCTGTCATCTATCTTGGGACATGGCCTGATCCTGCTGCTGCTTGTCTGTGAACACACTGCTTCATTTAAAATCCCAGGGGGAAAAACCATCTAAAATCCAGGATTATTACATACTTTTTATAATTAATAACTGTATTGAAATCATCAGGGAGTCTTAATTTCTTCCAGCTCTTGTTGACAGAATTCTTTATGGATTAAGCATTTCTTGATTTGTTTTTGTCCAATTTTTCTTCAACATCTCAATCAGGTTTGGAGCTTAACAGCTGAATGTTGCTGAAAGCACAATACGGTGAACAGATGGCAGCACCAACAACAACAACAACACCACAGGAAAGTTAAAAGTATCGTAAGTATTCATATGTCTAAATCTCTTCTACTGATTTCACATGAATGGTAGCCGCAAAAAAATCCAGTCCAGCATGGACTTTACTCAGACTCCATCAAATCCTGCCTTTTATCACTGTCAATCAACACAAGTCATTTTAGCAACCATAGTAAAACTGTCCTGATGACAATCTGTGCATAGACATACTGCAACTGTATTCTTCTTATATTATGATGGATTTCCATACTTGTATCACGTCCATAATGATTCCAGCTGAAACCATTCCCAGCCCCGACACCAGGTAGGGCACTATGACCTGCAGAGCGATCAGCCAGGAGCTCTCTGGTAGGAAACCATGTTCGGATCGAGTCAATTTCCAGGTCACTCCACGTAATTTCTTGCCCTGGTAGCAGAGCTCCACCTCCAAACGAGTGACCACCATGATCAAAGCGACGAGTTACTAATTCACTTAGTCCCACAAGCAGTGCGCTCTTTGTACGTGAAGATGGAGACCAGACGTGAAGGACAGTGTTGAGTCAAGACAAGAAACATTATTGTTAAAAGCCGGTGGTTTGGCAGTAAAAGGATTTCCTCCTCAACTTATCAGACACCTGTAGAAGATAAGCCTCTTTCTGCAAGTCTTCAGATTACCACTTGAAAGAAATATTCTTTCTTCAGTTTGTTCTTTAAGGCTTGTGGAGTGTGATACCCTTGGCCGTCTGGTGAGTCAGCAGTGATGAGGTGTCCATTTCCTCAGCATCACTGAGAAAGGCAAGTCATTAACACCAGTTCTGACTCACAAGTCACGACACAGCCTGGCATCGTCAAGAGTAATCTCTGTTTGTTATGTAAAGTTCAGTTTGATGTCCAAGACAAGAAAAGGACAGTTCTTCTGGTCCAGGAATAGTGGACTTCTTGAGAATCCATCAAGTTTTGTTCAAAGTTCTTTTCAATGATTCCTGGAAGATCTGATTTGACAGACATGTATCCATGTAGTTTCTCTGATTGCACCAAAAAGATGACAACATTTCTGAGGAGTTTCTGGTCAGAATCTCTGTGTCATTTTATCCCATTTCCATCTTCTGGGAAACAAAAAAGACAAACGTGTTCCTTAATCTCAGAGAGTAGTTAGAGATGGAGGACTGATGAAACAAACACAGCAGCCGGCAGCTCTGAGCTGACTAACGTGTTTCTGTCCTCCTGTCAGCATCCCTGTAGTCCTGTTTCCTCCACCAGGCTCTGCTGTGACGTAGCAGAGAAAGAGGCAGGACTGTCTGCACCGTCCGACACGCTGCGAACACACGAGGCAAACAACCGACTCTTCCACTCTCTCTCTCTCTCTGTATCTCTCTCTCTGTATCTCTTGCTGATGGTCTGCTTCTCACCCCACCTCCCTCTCACCACTGTGTGACATCGTTCACTCTATGCCAGCATCCCTCGTCTCTCATTCCACTCGTTCTAGACTCCCCCCCCTCTCTCTCTCTCCTCCATTGTGACTCATTCTCTGTGTCTCTTTGTTCCCCCTCCAGCTCTACCTCTGTGTTAACCTGCAGCAGAACATCTGCACTGTGATCCACGCTGTTTTATCTCTTCTCGCTCAAGTCTTTAGAATCAAATCTCAATTATTACTCCTACAACAGTTTAATAAAATGTTTGACACATTTACTACTACAGCTAAAAATAATTTAATGTAATTAAATCTGTTATGAGTGGTGTTCCTAGATATGAGTGACAGACATATCTGATTTATAAAAGTAAAGCAATGGAAATAAACACTGGTTTAGAAATAAGTCTGAAATCAGAAGTACAATCTTTAGTAGATCTATTTATAAATATATATTTTACTTTCTGTATGCATGTATGTATGTGTGTGGTTCATGAAATGAATTGCAGTAAGAGTTGTAGTACTACTTCATCATGCAGTGTAGCACTGGCTATTAGTCTAATAATGTTAAAGGAAATAGTTTTTCCTCTTCATATGGTCTTTTGTGAACTGGGTAGACATGTGGTGCTTTATCTTGTATACTCCATGTATGAATGTTTCATCACAATCTAGAAAATAAAAACAGAAGACTTATGACTTATACTTGGGAGCTATAATGAAAGGCGAAAACCGATGAATTTAAATAAGCCTGTCTTCTGTGTATAACACCACATGACAATGTATTTGTCCACCTAGTTCCTCTGTTTGGTAAGTTCTAATGCCCTATGCTAGAATGAAGACACAAGACTGTTTTAATAAATGTATGACTGTATGATGATAAACCGAGAATCCCCTGAAGTAACGTTAACACAAATATGTTCTGAGGCCTTGCTTTTTCTTCTCTTGTTACAAAAATATACAAAAATAAAATGTAAAATTAATTGAAAGACAATACACTGCTTCACAATCTGCCACACATTTGTTCCTGTGAGAAACAAAACATAATAGGAGACAGAACAGACTACTGGACCCCAACTGAACCATCCAGTACGATACTGGTGGGAGGTAATGCTAGTATGCTAGTCACATCACTGGAAATACCTAGAGAATAGACTGCAGTAAAAACACTAAAAGCTGACTTTAAAATATTTTCTCCTTCATTTCTCTCTAATTTAAAACAGTCTCATCTCCATGTCCTTTGCTGCCCCCTATGCTTTCACACACACAGCACTCAGCCAAAACCCTCCATCAAATCCAGCACAGTGACTGTCAGAGGAGAAAGTAGAACGGAGGAAGTATAGATGAGCAGTGGATGAGGTGAATGAGTTTAAGGTGAATAAAAGTGGACTTATGTTTCACAGTGGAGGACAGAGAGGAGGGAACAGGTACAGTATCAACTCATCATAAATCAGACAGCATCGTGTCTGACTTCTCAGAGGCCAGATGGCTGCCGACCAAAAATGCCCAAGTGTCTGGCAGGGAATAAAGACACAACAAGCCCACAGACCAACACACAGATGTGTACACTCAGCATTCCTTATAGACCGTCGGCAAGTTTGTCTTTAAAAATAAAAAGGTTTTTGTGACAAAAACAAGAAAAATGTAACATGTATTTTCTATACAACATTAAATACTTTTTGGACTAAAGCTGATGAAGACCTACTGTATGCCATGACATTTTGAGGTTCTGAAGCTGCAGGACTCACCTGTACACTGTCCAGCACCATGCCAGCCATCACCATACCCATTCCAGCCAGCAGGTATGGGAAAAGCACCTGGAGACAAATAGATTTGGACGACTCTTCCTCCAACTTGGTGACTGATATTTTGGGTCTGACATCAGCTGGCTTTTTGGGGAGCACATGTTGAGAAGATGTAGGTAGGGTAGGGTCTTCCTGGCCATTAACTGTTGTGGTGGTGGGACCGCCGCCTGCACCTGCTGCCTTCAGGCGCAATTTTTTGTTCTTTTTCCTGTGCCGGGTCTGCTGCGATACCTTCTCTTCACCAGGCATTTTGGAGTTTCTGGTTATTCTAGGAATCAAAAGTGACAGAAATATTTTATGTTCTACCTTTTCCTGAGTTGGTCATCCTAAGCACACGGTTAAGTTTTGAAAATAATAATGTAAGTAATGGAAACCAGAAAAAAAAAAAGCAATCTAGTTAGATGTTAAGCACCTTAAACAGTGTTTGTCTTGTAAAGGTGGAGGTACATTTTGCATGGTTCCATTAGAATATTTGCAACTTGTTTTTGTCCTCGTGTCTGTCTGAACTAACATATTTACATGCATCATCTTCGTGGAACAGAAATATACAAATACCTTAACAACCTTAAATGGGTTAAAAAGGCAAGTCTTTAATCAGGTTGAATGCTTTGATTCTTTGAAGTGCTCAACTTTGAGCTTCTTTGAAGTAAAACAGTAAAAAGTGGCATTAAATCTTTGGAAAAAAAATACATAGACAAGAATAAAAGTTAAGTTAATATAAAGAAACACACTTAACAGGAATGCACTGCTGGGATACTGTGCCCTACATTTAGCTACTATTCTTCTATGGACTTCCAGGATGGCTTGAACTTAGAGTTAACAATATCCTACTTTTATGCAAATTAATATGGTTCTCTGGCCTAATGTAACGTTAGTAACATGTTTTGATTATAAATAAATAAATAAGACTGCCAGCTCAAAAAGCATCTTCAGTGGGAACAAAACCTAGGAAAGGCTTCAGATAATAACCATGACAATGGTTGAGTTGTGAGAGTGAAGTGGCTGCTGGGAAATTGGCAGGTTTAACCGTCAAACACACAATCTAGTGTTTTTCTCTTGTTAGCTTGTGCAGTAGAGTTTGACAAGCTAGCAGGTATGGTAAAATGTCAGGGCAATGGACAAAAAAAAGCAGTTCAACTGTATATGTCTGTGAGTCGAATGTATGTAGAACAAGAAAGTTAGTGTTTTTTTGTGTCTCACTTTTGTTGAAGGTGTACGTCACCAGAGACTAGCATTAACTCAGTAACAGGACCCTGACCGTAATAAACAAACACCAACGACAGCATGCCAGTGGTGAATACGAGATTACTCTCACTTTTCTGTCACAAAATAAAACAATCATTTTAATAAGCAAATGCTAATTACCGAAGCTAAGTGTATTACTTAGCTTCGGAAAGTAGCATTTGCATTTTTGTAGTTCAACCAGGTTGTACCTTTGATGCATATATTTACATATATAAGTGCCGTTGAGTATATTGTGCCAATACTATAACAAACTAAATATGAAGGAAAAGGAGTACGACATTTGTTTTACATGCAAAGATATGTTTAACAATGTACGTAATCTTTCTGTCGTTGCATATTTCAAACACGAAATGTTTTGTGTAGTTAATGTCAGCAGTATATTTACTTCTTATTCATCTGTTTACAAGTCATGGGTGAAGGCTCAAACAATAAAGAAAAACATTTATACACACTATATTGAAGCCCGAGTCCAAGAATACTCGGGAAGCGTCAACATCCGGTGGCATACCCGAGAGAAAGGCAGTTGCAGAAACGAAGAATTTAACCCACAACAGATAAAACGACTCAATTGATCCTTATACTGTACTGCCATTCGAACATTCCTCCACTGAAGGCTGCCATGTCTATCCCATAATACTGCTACTCCGGTAACTTATGGTTACATAACCAAGAAGCAATCTGATTGGACAGAATATGTGGATAAACGACAAACAGCGTGTAGCTCCGCCCCCCACTGGAGAAAGTGAGTAAAAGTTTTTTTTAGTGGGAGAAGTTGAGACGAAATCCTTAGCTGTGTGTCACTGTTTGAATGAGTCCAAATTTAGATATTTCGATTTTTGGGCTAAAGTAGTGCCAAAGTAGAATGGGTGACTTTTATTCCTTTCGTATTTCCCGTTCACGTGCATGTTGTGGAATGGAATTTGAGTACATGTCACATCCACAGAGGTGTCCAAATGTTCTTCATGGAAAAGGAAAGAGTTGGACTATGTGACAACTAGCCCCCACAACAAAATAATTACCTTTCATAAAAAGCATATCATAACTGAAGCTATATATATGCCTTGTCTGAATCTGATCTGATAATACAAATATAAGAGGTTATAATTGTTCTTTCAGTGTGAGTGGAGTAGGTAAGTACCTACAGTAGTTGCATGAAGTGTAAGGGATATTACAGTATATGGCTCAGTACCACGTGTATCACACACCTACACAGAAGAAGAACCTAGACCAGTGAGAATGAATGAATGACATCATCTCCTCAATCAATGTAAGGCCTAAAATCTATAACAGCCTAATACTGCTTACTGTACATGTATATAATAAATAATATCATGAAACTCGTGCAGTGCATTTGTAAAGTCATGAACACGTTGAGAGACAAAGAATCATGATCTCTCTTACCTTTTTGTCTGGAGCTTCAAGGCCAAAAAGTATGAACAGCTGAGGTGAGGCCAAGCAGTGTGTAAATGTCTAAGTTATAACTATTAGTGCATATCTGAACTGCTTTCCGTTTGTCCCTGGATTTCTTTAGCACAAGTCTCTGCACTAAGCTGTATGTGTGTGTTTGTGTGTGTGTGTGTGTGTGTGTGTCAGCGTCTTGAATTTCATAGCATTGGCAGATAAGGATATCCTCCTCCTGTCACTTTCCATCTGTGGTAAACTGGTGACAGCAGCACCGAGCTGCTATAACAGTTCCCACCCCTTCATTCATGGAAAGAAAACCACAGTAGTTTAACATCCAGTGCTTTATTTGATCAGCAGAACCTCCACACTACTTTTTTTTTCAAATACACACTTACTGTACAGTCTTCTAGGTTCCCTCACACTTAAGTACAAAAATGTCAAAATTCTGTTTTAAAAGTTACAGTTCACTTCTGCAAAACAGACAGTTCACTAGATTTTGTGAAGAAATTTAACAGTCCACATCAGTGTAGGCTCTTAAAAAGTCATAGTCTGAACAATTTAGTTAGTTATTTGTTTATCTAATTTTACAGCAGAAATTGTTGAGAAGCCTCAGCCCAAATGAACCATGTTAAATATAGTAACTGTAACATGCTTCACACTATAGCTGTTACCAGCTTCCTTGTGGCAGAATATCATCATTATAAAAGTATCATTATAAAATCTTGCAGCTCAAAAACCCATCTGCAAAGGAAAAGAGGCTCAGACCCCTGTCGTAGTTAGCCAGTTACCTGATTGTCAAGCTCTGCTTTAAAACTCCACTAAACTTTAATAACCAAACAACACATGACTTCTGATTTCTACAGTGTGGCAGAAATAGAGAAAATATTTTAAACTTTTTCACTCCTCTGTGCTCCCCCTGCAGTTATTTGATGCCCCTTTAGAGGGGGCCACCCCCCACTTTGGGAACTACTGTAACAGACTCTTTGTTTCTGGTTCTGTTTTTTTTCCAGGGCGTAAGTTTTGTTTGATAAGCAGCAAAAGCATTATCTGTACTAGTTGACCAACAAGCAGTTCTGCATTGTACCACTAGGTGGTAGCATAGATTAAAGAGAAACACATGGTGTTTTTTTTTTTTTTTTAGGTTTCCTTTTAATTTTACCTGCCAATTCTCGTCTTTCTCAAAACTACATATCGAGGCTAAAAACAGTCGTGTCGAAAGACTTTATTTTTATAAGTTCACTAGTACACTTTGGGCTTGATCATAACTGCTGTAATCCAAATAATGGAGCTTGTTTAATATATTGGAGTTGACGTTGAATGAGTAGCAATTTTCCAGGATCCTAAAGTAGTTAAAAATTTCAGGTGCAGTGAGTCTTGGTGGTCTACAAGGATGATCCGTCTGTCACAGGCTTTAAGTCCTGGTCTTATGAGTTTATGGTAACGTGATCCATGTTATAGTTGTGGGGTTTCTCTCTCCTACTACGTATGCAGAGGGTGAAAACCCCCCGGAGGTTATGGAAATCTGGTTTACAGGCCCCTCTCTGTTTATCTTCCACATATATTAACTCTAATCAAAACCAGGAAAGACGGCAATTGCGTTCCCATGTGTAGTGTGTGCGTGTTTTGTGGTGCTATTTTTCTTCGCCTTATAAGATCGCCGTGGCTGTGTGAGCCTTGGCATTTTTAGCACCTCATTAACGCCTGTGTGCAGATGTTGTGCACATGCCTGCATGGACAGAACTCCATGTATGAGGTACATCTTTTAAAACAATGTCATCAAGTGTATATTATGTCTATACGTTTAGTTTCCTGTGAGCCAAAGCTGCATTGGATTTGATGGATTTGATTTAAGAACTAATTATGGAAACCCCTGTTTTATTTTGGTTAGCCTTTTCTTTATAAAACATTTGTTAAATTTTTTCTCTTAATCAAAATGAATACAAACAAGAGTAGGACACGTGTCTGAGGACCTAATCCCTGTGCAGTAAACATGACCAAATAACAGTCGGACGACGCAGTGCACTTGGCTGGCGTTACCGTGCCCCCTGATCATGGCGTCACAGCATGTGACCAGACTCAATAAATAACACTGACGCAACAACAGGAGTCAGAGTTTAGCAAGGGGAGTCGTACGAAGAGTGACAAGAAAAGTGCAACCAAACTTCACAGGTCCTTTACAGACTTCCTGTGTTTTAGGTGATGAGGTGTTGACAGCACGAAAACATTGTGATTGTTTAAGTCATTATATAGTATAAAAAAAAAAAATGTGGTCTCAGAGTGATGTTGTAAAGTCAGGTGTGAATGCTTTCCAGGTGCAGTGTCGTGGTTGACCTATAGGGGACTTTTAGTTTTTTTGTTAGTAGTTCCAGGCCACCAGAGCCAATACCATTAGGTACTTCCTGGACAGTTAATTAGTCCGTCACAGGGCCCAAACGGGGAGAAACAACCATTAACCAACCAATTAACCAGTTGATTAACCTAATATTGCAAAGACCGGGGATCAATCCAATAAGCCATGCTCTAATGTGAGAGCACTAACCTCTCTGTCCTCCTGTACTTCATTTTAATTACATTTAATTATATTTATATATTAATCTTAATTATATTTGGAGTTGAGTTAATTAAACACCGCACGTGTTTTAAATAGATCGATTTTCTTTAATGAGATAACATAGTGAGGTGTGTGTAGGAGGAAGATATTTTCCTAAAATATTTTACAGATTAAAAAGAAAGACATTAAAAGAGTAGTTGGCAGCCTCAGTTTAAAGAATAGGAATGACTTTTTAACCAGAATTCCTGCTTTTGAATCTGGATCTGCAGTCTAAATGGTGCTAAAAAGATCAGAACGATATGCCAGATCGACACAGTGCTGCCAGTGCACGTCTGTGCAAACCACAGAAATGTGTGAGCTCACGTTCCTGAACCAAAACTACGCTACATTTCTGTCCTTCTACAAATGTCCATGATAACAAGGCATTGTAACCACTTATATCAGTGTTTCCCTAACTTTTTTTCTGGGGACCCATATTTTAAAAGTCACATACTTTCGCGACCCAAGTCAATAGACATTATTCATAAACTGCTGGGAAACATGATGCAAGACGACCCCCCCAAAAAAACTCTTGCGACCCACCTGAGGGTCGCGACCCAGTCTTTGGGAAACAATGACCTATAGTATGTAAGGCAAAAATGATTGACAGTACGGATGGTACACAGACCCCTGATATGAATGTGTTATGTCAGGGGTTCTGAGCTTTTCCATGCCAAGCCCCCCCAAACAGCATTAGCTTCTGGCCAGTGACCCTTTTTGCAAACTTTGCAAAATTTGTTTAGCATAAGAATCTCATTAACAAGCACTGTATTTTCCCACTGAATAATAAACCGCTGTGTCTACCCAGAAACTGCAGCTGTCACACGAGGTGCATTCAGATACCATTGGAAACTTGAGAATCTGACGATTATGGCAGTACATGTGTTGTATGGTTCAGTGTCTATAAAAAGAAAATAAATATATATACTATGTATTTTTTGCATTTTTATCACATCTTCTATCCAATGTTCTGGCGCCCCTCCTAGGACTTCCAAAGTAGCCGTGGCCCCCACGCCTTATGATTGTCTCACCTTTTTCCCATTTGAAAAACAGAACCGAGTGTCACCACAACACCATGATGTCCATAAAAACACATAAACACAGAGTGTGACTTTGGAGTTAAAGTGTTCACTCACTCATTACACTGAACCCTTAGCTTCAGGCCTTACCAACACTTACATAACACACACACACACACAGAGTACAGCTGATACTCTAGGCTCCCAGCCAAAGATACAACATGTCGAGCAGGTGCTGAAGCAACTGATGAACTGTCAGTTGAGGCGATGTTGGTCTTTAATGTACTGTAATACTGTATACTGTATATACTGCATGAACATTTACTGTACCTCAACACACAGCTGGTTTCTTCTCATTTGGACAAATGTGAGGATAACCTTTCCAAACTTTGTGACTGTTATCTATTAAATCACTTGTTGCTGTTTCTGTGCCAACATTCAATGTTCATCTATGCTATTACCATTTTTTTTTCTGCTAACTTTTAGCTCTTTCTAGATAACATTTCTGTCTTTTTTTTTTAGTTTTTGCGCCATTTTTGGCAGGCGTTTTAAAAGAAATTTACTTAAAAATCATTAAACGTCTTCTCTATCAAAACCAACCAGGACACCCTGGGTCGGCAGCAAGAGTTCTTTTGAGAGTCTA